ACAAATTTGTGATGAGGAAGAAGAAAAATATTGAAATTATTTATATCATATATAATATATAACTATGTGAATATGGGGAATAGATATACTATCGCGCCTCTTTATATAATTGTAGTTATTATCAATGTATATGAAATATGTGTCATTAATTAATAGTCTTTTAACTTTGTTTGTTAGTGATAAAGTAACCTAAAATTTAGTGACGGGGAAGAAGCAAAATATTGAAATGGTTTATATCATATATAACATATAACAATATGAATATGGGGAATAGATATATTATTGATCCTCTTTATATAATTGTAGTTATTATCAACGTATATCAAATATGTGTCCTTAATAAATAGTCTTTTATCTTAGTTTCTTAGTGATGAAGTAACCTAAAATTTGGTGACGGGGAAGAAGCAAAATATTGAAATTGTTTATATCATATATAACATATAACAATATGAATATGGGGAATAGATATACTATCGAGCCTCTTTGTGTAATTGTAGTTTTTATCAATGTATATAAAATAATTGTCATTAATTAATTGTCTTTTATCTTAGTTTCTTAGTGACGAAGTAACCTACAAATTTGTGATGAGGAAGAAGAAAAATATTGAAATTGTTTATATCATATATAATATATAACAATGTGAATATGGGGAATAGATATACTATCGAGCCTCTTTATATAATTGTAGTTATTATCAATGTATATGAAATATGTGTCATTAATTAATAGTCTATTAACTTAGTTTCTTAGGGATGAAGTAACCTAAAATTTTGTGACGGGGAAAAAGCAAAATATTGAAATTGTTTATATCATATGTAACATATAACAATATGAATATTGAGAATAAATATACTATCGGGCCTCGTTATATAATTTTAATTATTACCAATGTATAGGAAATATGTGTCATTAAATAATAGTCTTTTAACTTAGTTTCTTAATGATTAAGTAACCTAAAATTTGTTGACGGGGAAGAAGCAAAATATTGAAATTGTTTATATCATATATAACATATAACATTATGAATATGGGGAATAGATATACTATCGAGCCTCTTCATATAACTTTAGTTATTACCAATGTATATGAAATATGTGTCATTAATTAATAGTCTTTTAACTTAGTTTCTTAGTGACGAAGTAACCTAAAATTTGGGGACGCGGTAGAAGCAAAATATTGAAATTGTTTATATCATATATAACATAAAACAATATGAATATGGGGAATAGATATACTATCGATCCTCTTTATATAATTGTAGTTATTATCAATGTATATGAAATATGTGTCCTTAATAAAGAGTCTTTTATCTTAGTTTCTTAGTGATGAAGTAACCTAAAATTTGGTGACGGGGAAGAAGCAAAATATTGAAATTGTTTATGTCATATATAACATATAACAATGTGAATATGGGGAATAGATATACTATCGAGCCTCTTTGTGTAATTGTAGTTTTTATCAATGTATATAAAATATGTGTCATTAATTAATTGTCTTTTATCTTAGTTTCTTAGTGATGAAGTAACCTACAAATTTGTGATGAGGAAGAAGAAAAATATTGAAATTGTTTATATCATATATAATATATAACAATGTGAATATGGTGAATAAATATACTATCGAGCCTCTTTATATTATTGTAGTTATTATCAATGTATATGAAATATGTGTTATTAATTAATAGTCTTTTAACTTAGTTTCTTAGTGATGAAGTAACCTAAAATTTTGTGACGGGAAAAAAGCAAAATATTGAAATTGTTTATATCATATGTAACATATAACAATATGAATATTGGGAATAAATATACTATCGGGCCTCGTTATATAATTTTAATTATTACCAATGTATAGGAAATATGTGTCATTAAATAATAGTCTTTTAACTTAGTTTCTTAATGATTAAGTAACCTAAAATTTGTTGACGGGGAAGAAGCAAAATATTGAAATTGTTTATATCATATATAACATATAACATTATGAATATGGGGAATAGATATACTATCGAGCCTCTTCATATAACTTTAGTTATTACCAATGTATATGAAATATGTGTCATTAATTAATAGTCTTTTAACTTAGTTTCTTAGTGATGAAGTAACCTAAAATTTGGTGACGGGGAAGAAGCAAAATATTTAAATTGTTTATATCATATATAACATATAACAATATGAATATGGGGAATAGATATACTATCGAGCCTCTTTATATAACTTTAGTTATTAACAATCTATATGAAATTTGTGTCATTAATTAATAGTCTTTTAACTTAGTTTCTTAGTGATGAAGTAACCTAAAATTTAGTGACGGGGAAGAAGCAAAATATTGAAATTGTTTATATCATATATAACATATAACAATATGAATATGGGGAATAGATATACTATTGATCCTCTTTATATAATTGTAGTTATTATCCATGTATATGAAATATGTGTCACTACGCCAAAAATGATTTTTTGTATCACCTAATTTAATAGCACTTTTAAAAAAAATGCTATTAAAATGGAAAAAACACATTTATAATAGCACTTTTTAATCGGGCGCTATTATATAATACAGACTATGTAATTTTGATAGCACTTTGTACCAGAACGCTATTATTAAACTTCTTTAAGATAGCATTTTGTATAAAACGCTATTATTTGACTACCTATATAATAGCATTTATTAAAAAGCGCTATCTTATATATAATAATGAATTAATTAATTAATTGATAAAAAAAAAAAAAAAACACATTTTCAGAAACCTTTCTCTCCTTCCATATCTGATCCACTTTTCTCAAGCTCCCGTCAAAACCTCTACATCATGAACCCTAGAAAGCTAAAGTATGGAATTAACCGGTAACGAAGCTTGCAATCACGCTATTGGAAGAGGAGAAATGTTTAGAGGATCCTAAACTACTCCGTGGTATAAAGAAAGCTAAGAGAATTTGAGGAAAGGACTAACTTGTTGGCGGCGGTTATCGTGTTGGAGAGGAAGACGAAAGAATCGAAAGAAATTAGATCTCTCAGGTACGATTCAACACTTCCGGCTTTACGTTTTCACCTCTACCTTCTTCTCCTTTTTGCTACTCGTTCTCTACTTCTTTTTCTTGCGTTCTTCATGCACTAATTCTGCGTTGTTGCTGCGTTCTATTGTAGATTCGTGATGTTGTTTCTGAAGTAATGAACAAAGATGTTGCGATGATGATGACACTTGCAGATTCCGAAAGCGGAGATGAAAATTGAAGGTTCTGCCCCCATGCTACAGAGATGAAGATTGCAAGAGGAAGTAGAGAGAATTGAGAGAGATTTCTTAGATAGGGTTCCGAGAAGAATGGTGAGTGTTTTTCTCTAATTTTTCTGTGACTTTTTCTGGTGTGTCTGAATTGTGAACTCCCTCCTCACTTTTCTGTTATCTGTTAGGAAGTTGGTTAGAAACAGTTAAGGGTTATGGAATCTGTTAGAAGTTAGCTTTGACATCAATTTTCCCCTTTCGATTTTCCCGGCCACACCACCGCCGTCATCGCCGCTTCATCCACCGACGACAGCGGCATCCCGTCTCAAGATCTCGCAGTTCTCCTCGAAGTCGACGGGTGAATTTTCGCTTTTCTTCGTTATTAACAATCTCGTTTCAGTTTCACTCTGCTCAACTTGTTTGAACTGTTGTGGTTGTTAATTGTTTTATTTATTTATTTATTTGTTTTTTAGGGTTCTTGTGGATGCATACCGTGGGAATCGCATAGCCTTCAATAAAGGTATCAACAGTTCGACTGTGCTCACTGTCACTGCTCATCTATAATTCCATATTCTCCTTGTGTTATTCTGTTTTCATGGAGTGTAACGAACTGTTGTTTTTCGATTTTGATTTCGATGTTGTGCTTGCAGCATTTGAGAAACTTGGACTTGATTGTGCGAGCTGGAGCGAACCTGTCTATTCAGATCTTTTAAGGTGTTTTTTTGGTTATTTGTTGTTATATTATTTTCTTGCCTGTGCATATGTTCTAATGGAAAAGGTGATGATGATACACTTAGATTTCATGAGTTCTTGTAATCAATGCATTGAATTTCAATGAAGTCTCAGTTTGGTAGGGACTGTAGTTGATAATACTGTGAATTTGAATTATAAGACTTCACTGCTACATTCCCTGCTACATCATTCAAGAATGGCATGTAAGTATTATCTACTTAATTTTTGTTTCATTACATTCCCTGCTACATCATTCAATTTGTTGGTTGGATTATCATGAAAATTTAGTGACGTGAAATCTCATGCATACAATAGATTTTGAAAAGACCAAATGGTATTCTCTTTAGCATGTACATCATTGATGAAAAGAAAATGAAGAAAGCAATTGAGTTGAAGCATTATGTACTCAAAACGAATAAAATATAGCTTATTTATCCGCCCAATCAAGCTAGAGGGAACAAACTGACCTAGTGGGAGCATCCCTTTTTAAGATATAATCTTAATTTTATCTTTCAATTGAATATGTAGGTATTGGGATCTTGTTTAGAGTGCACTAGGAAGCAAATGAGGCTTTGATGTGTATGCCAGTACTACTTTGTTTTGTTACTACTTGAACATGTCTTTAGTTATTATTTTGTCATGTTAATTAGAGTTTACAATTAAAATGGGAATGAGTAGTTTTTAATTAGAGTTATTTATCCATAAAGTATGTCATTTATCGTTATTCAGATACAGTTTAGGAAAGGCGTTAACATCACTACAGATCAAAAGAAATTTATCCATAAAGTATGTTATTCATTGTTATTCATTGTTATTCAGATACAGTTTTGGAAAGGCTTTAACATCACTGCAAATCAAAAGAAATTTATCCATATTAGTAATCATGTGCACTTACTTGTTCCTTGGCACGCTCACACTGTGTAAGCACGAACGCTACATGTCTGACGGATCTCCTCTCCTCTCCTCTCAGGGAAACGCAATGTAACCGCACCAAAACAAACTGAAATCGATTCCCAAACCCTCCTTATCGGCAACGATTGAAGAAACAAAAATGTTTAGACGCGCAACTGCTACTCTCAAATCGACTCTTTTCCTTCACATCACAAAGGTAATAAATAAAATTCTCATTCTCTTTCACTTCATCGATTCATATTCTCACTTTGAGTTCTTTCTCGTTCCTGGAAGGTTCTAAATGCAACGGTTATCATTTCCATAGATTTACCACAGGATCGCCTTCATTGTTTTGGGTATGAAAAATCAATAATTTAGAGATTGTGTTGTCGTGATTTTGTGTTTGTTTATTATAAAGAAAATCGTTTTGTTTGGTAAATTGTCTATCGGAAATGGTTTTGTTAAAAAGTTACTAATCGGAGTTTCAATTTTAAATACTCACTTTTCAACTTTTCACATGTACTGTATTAAGAATTTTTTTGTATAATTAATGTTACATTCTGTATATAACTAATCCTACTAAATTTTCCTTTTTGAACAGATGTATCTAATATTGATTGTTTTCTAACCAATACAAATTATTGTTTGTGTTTTGAATTAAGATTCATTGGAGTCTCCTCAGGAATGTTTCCTTCTAGATGCCACTCTAAGGTAATCAAATTTGGATATTGGATCCATTATTACAATTGCTGAAGGTGGTTTTTTAAGTTACTATTATAACTTTCCAATGTTGTTCCTGTTTCAAAGCTTTTCAAGAGTCTCATGGATTACTCACAAGGAAAGTTAACTAAAGAAACTGCTAAAGGTATGATTTTTCAGCTATAACATGGCTGCTAAAGCTTCTTCTTTAAGCTGAAATTGAGTATAGAATGTTTCTAGGTGAAGAAATCATAATTGCTAGAGGCTATTTGAGTATAATTGATTCTATAGTTTATGGTTTACCCAAAGATTAAAAAAAGGCCCATGGCCGCAAAAACGGCTGCGACAAAATGGTTTCGACAAGTGCCAATATCGATATCGTTATCACCGTTTTTACATTAAAGAACAAAATGTAGTTAATTCACACCGCGACGACCGCAATCAGTATCGTGAAACCTGTACCAACGGAAATCGGGAAAGCCTTTACACGTTTGTGACGCAACCGCAACCGTTTTATAAAACCTTGGTTTTCCCACCTGGTTTAATTCAATTAGGTAGAAAAGTCAGAAAAATTGAATGACAGCCACATAATTTGTGTGCAGAACATGATTATGAGGAAAATTTTCTTTAGGCCTGTTAAGCTATATTTATGTGATGGACGGTTATGTTTTTGTATAAATACTATGACCCCATTTTAATGGTTTACATGTATTGTTGTCTATGCTATTTTCTCCTATCAAAGTGGCTTACTATGACCCCAAATTCATGTTATTGAAGCTTTCAAAGCTATGCTTACAAAAACATTGATTGTAACTTTTATCTTCTATCCATCTCTTACCGCCTTTTGTTTCTGTTGATCCAAGTTTTCTTTGTCAGGGAAGCATCCATATCACAAATATTGTTTTAAAGAGTTAAGCCATCCTAAATGTGAAGTTTGTCATCATTATGTAAGTTCGTCTTCCTCTTCCTTTGCTTATTCATACTGTCCTACTTTGTTATTAGTTTTCTTCAATAGTTAGGGTCACAAGGTTTAAAAAATGGTCCGTTACTGCAAAAACAGCCGTGTCTATTACAATTGACCTATAATCTTTAACACATGATAATTTATTTCACTTGCAGATACCTATAAATGGTTCTGGTTTGATTGAGTATAGGTGTCACCCTTATTGGAACCAAAAGTACTGTCCATCTCATGAATATGACAATACTGCTCGCTGTTGTAGCTGCGAAAGATTAGAGGTACTAATATATTTTATCATTTCTTTTTTAAGATCTAAGAGATGAGATTTTGCTAAATATATGATTCTCCCTTATTCTGATATGTAAATTTTGAATGATCTTTTCCTTGAAGTCTCGTGGAGAGAGATACTTTAGATTGGATGATGGACGGATTCTGTGCTTTGAGTGCATGGAATCTGCTATAACAGATACCGGTGAATGTCAACCTCTTTATCATGCTATTCGAGACTATTATGAAGGAATGCATATGAGAATTGATCAACAAATCCCGATGCTTCTAGTTGGGAGAGAAGCACTTAATGAAGCCATTGTTGGAGAAAAGAATGTAATGAAACATCCATTCTTTGTTTTTCAGTCATTGAAATTAATCTAATTCCTCTTACTCTTTCTAATTGGATAGTTTCGTCCAGGGTTACCATCATGTTCCGGAAACAAGAGGCTTATGCCTTTCAGAAGAGCAAACTGTCACCAGTGTATGATTTTCAAAGTCTTTTGCTTTTGTTTTATCAGATTAGAGAATGTTGAAACGCGCTTAAATGTAGTTACATGTATTTCTGATTTTCTGTTCTTTCAGGTACTGAGTGTTCTTTCTTGGTCTCGAATTTAAATTTTGAAATAGGAAAATACGGAAAAATGACTTATATCTTATTGTATGATTGATTTATAGTTTTCCGTTTCTACTTGAAATTTTTAGATATTCGTAGTAACAATTGTAAGGTGTTTGATATCTAGTTCTGGATCATGAAAAGAAAGTTACACACAATTAAGTGTTTATGTATATTTTGAGAATTTGAATTATATTCTGTTTAGTGTTTATATGCATCTAATAATGGAAATTGTGGTATATATATTTACAAGTCATGTTCTTGTTAGACTTAATTAGTTCAATTATTGCATTAGTTATATCGATTTATTGTTATTAGTTTATAATAATCATTCCTTATTTTATGCGCTTCTTGTTAGACCCATATTAAATGTTTGATTATTCTTTATATGTTGAATTAGTTTTTATTGTACAATACATAATCAATATTCCTTCTATGATACAGGAAAACAAGAAGCAATTATTTTGCCTAATTAGTGATTGTATCTATGAGTTCAACGCTTTTGGATCATGAAGGTGGTTACTACATGGGATTGTTTTGTTATCCTTTCTTATTTTTTTGGTGTTTTGTTTAGAGAATTTGATTGTATGTTTTTGGATTTGGATTGAAGTACTCATAGATGGGCATCTACAAATTTGGCTATGCAAACGCCCTCTTAATATTCTATATGTTATGATATTTGGAAACAATAGGATTTGGTAATTTAAAATGTTATTTGGTATTTGTTGGATCATAATATATATGCAATGAGTAACTTAAAGCGTTATTTGTGTTGAATTGAATAGTTATTTTATATTTACACCAAAAAAAATGATTGTGTAAGAAAAAATATTGTACTGTACTTATTAAAAATATTGTACCAAATATGTACCATTTATTAGCACTTTATTTGAAAGCGCTATCAAACATATGTTATATATTAGCGCTTTTTGTTTAGAGTGCTATAAAAAATCAAACAAAAAACATGCAAAATACTGACTTTGATAGCACTTTAATTAAAACGCTATTATAAATTGGTACTTTAATAGCGCTTTTAAAGTGCTATTAAATAAGAAATATTTACAATAGTGGCGCGGTTAATAGCACTTTTAAGCGCTATCAAAAACAAAAAAAAGCGCTATTAAATAGCTTATTTGGCGTAGTGTGTCCTTAATTAATAGTCTTTTATCTTAGTTTCTTAGTGATGAAGTAACCTAAAATTTGGTCACGGGGAAGAAGCAAAATATTGAAATTGTTTATATCATATATAACATATAACAATATGAATATGGGGAATAGATATACAATCGAGCCTCTTTGTGTAATTGTAGTTTTTATCAATTTATATAAAATATGTATCATTAATTAATAGTCTTTTATCTTAGTTTCTTAGTGATGAACTAACCTACAAATTTGTGATGGGGAAGAAGAAAAATATTGAAATTGTTTATATCATATATAATATATATCTATGTGAATATGGGGAATGAATATACTATCGAGCCTCTTTATATAATTGTAGTTATTATTAATGTATATGAAATATGTGTCATTAATTAATAGTCTTTTTACTTAGTTTCTTAGTGATGAAGTAACCTAAAATTTTGTGACGGGGAAGAAGCAAAATATTGAAATTGTTTATATCATATATAACATATAACAATATGAATATTGGGAATAAATATACTATCGAGCCTCGTTATATAATTTTAATTATTACCAATGTATATGAAATATGTGTCATTAAATAATAGTGTTTTAACTTAGTTTCTTAATGATTAAGTAACCTAAAATTTGGTGACGGGGAAGAAGAAAAATATTGAAATTGTTTATATCATATATAACATATAACAACATGAATATGGGGAATAGATATACTATCGAGCCTCTTTATATAACTTTAGTTATTATCATTGTATATGAAGTATGTGTCATTAATTAATAGTCTTTTAACTTAGTTTCTTAGTGATGAAGTAACCTAAAATTTAGTGACGGGGAAGAAGCAAAATATTGAAATTGTTTATAACATATATAACATATAACAATATGAATATGGGGAATAGATATACTATCGATCCTCTTTATATAATTGTAGTTATTATCAATGTATATGAAATATGTGTCCTTAATTAATAGTTTTTTATCTTAGTTTCTAAGTGATAAAGTAACCTAAAATTTAGTGACGGGGAAGAAGCAAAATATTGAAATTGTTTATATCATATATAACATATAACAATATGAATATGGGGAATAGATATACTATTGATCCTCTTTATATAATTGTAGTTATTATCAATGTATATGAAATATGTGTCCTTAATTAATAGTCTTTTATCTTAGTTTCTTAGTGATGAAGTAACATAAAATTTGGTGACGGGGAAGAAGCAAAATATTGAAATTGTTTATATCATATATAACATATAACAATATGAATATGGGGAATAGATATACTATCGAGCCTCTTTGTGTAATTGTAGTTTTTATCAATGTATATAAAATATGTGTCATTAAGTAATAGTCTTTTATCTTAGTTTCTTAGTGATGAAGTAACCTACAAATTTGTGATGGGGAAGAAGAATAATATTGAAATTGTTTATATCGCATATAATATATAACAATGTGAATATGGGGAATAGATATACTATCGAGCCTATTTATATAATTGTAGTTATTATCAATGTATATGCAATATGTGTCATTAATTAATAGTCTTTTAACTTAGTTTCTTAGTGATGAAGTAACCTAAAATTTTGTGACGGGAAGGAAGCAAAATATTTAAATTGTTTATATCATATATAACATATAACAATATGAATATTGGGAATAAATATACTATCGAGGCTCGTTATATAATTTTAATTATTACCAATGTATAGGAAATATGTGTCATTAAATAATAGTCTTTTAACTTAGTTTCTTAATGATTAAGTAACCTAAAATTTGTTGACGGGGAAGAAGCAAAATATTGAAATTGTTTATATCATATATAACATATAACATTATGAATATGGGGAATAGATATACTATCGAGCCTCTTCATATAACTTTAGTTATTACCAATGTATATGAAATATGTGTCATTAATTAATAGTATTTTAACTTAGTTTCTTAGTGATGAAGTAACCTAAAATTTGGTGACGCGGTAGAAGCAAAATATTGAAATTGTTTATATCATATATAACATAAAACAATATGAATATGGGGAATAGATATACTATCGAGCCTCTTTATATAACTTTAGTTATTACCAATCTATATGAAATTTGTGTCATTAATTAATAGTCTTTTAACTTAGTTTCTTAGTGATTAAGTAACCTAAAATTTGGTAACGGGGAAGAAGCAAAATATTGAAATTGTTTATATCATATATAACATATAACAATATGAATATGGGGAATAGATATACAATCGAGCCTCTTTGTGTAATTTTAGTTTTTATCAATTTATATAAAATATGTATCATTAATTAATAGTCTTTTATCTTAGTTTCTTAGTAATGAAGTAACATACAAATTTGTGATTGGGAAGTAGAAAAATATTGAAATTGTTTATATCATATATAATATACATCTATGTGAATATGGGGAATGAATATACTATCGAGCCTCTTTATATAATTGTAGTTATTATCAATGTATATGAAATATGTGTAATTAATTAATAGTCTTTTTACTTAGTTTCTTAGTGATGAAGTAACCTAAAATTTTGTGACGGGGAAGAAGCAAAATATTGAAATTGTTTATATCATATATAACATATAACAATATGAATATTGGGAATAAATATACTATCGAGCCTCGTTATATAATTTTAATTATTACCAATGTATATGAAATATGTGTCATTAAATAATAGTCTTTTAACTTAGTTTCTTAATGATTAAGTAACCTAAAATTTGGTGACGGGGAAGAAGAAAAATATTGAAATTGTTTATATCATATATAACATATAACAACATGAATATGGGGAATAGATATACTATCGAGCCTCTTTATATAACTTTAGTTATTATCAATGTATATGAAATATGTGTCATTAATTAATAGTCTATTAACTTAGTTTCTTAGTGATGAAGTAACCTAAAATTTAGTGACGGGGAAGAAGCAAAATATTGAAATTGTTTATAACATATATAACATATAACCATATGAATATGGGGAATAGATATACTATCGATCCTCTTTATATAATTGTAGTTATTATAAATGTATATGAAATATGTGTCCTTAATTAATAGTCTTTTATCTTAGTTTCTTAGTGATGAAGTAACCTAAAATTTGGTGACGGGGAAGAAGGTTGAAATTGTTTATATCATATATAACATATAACAATATGAATATAGGGAATAAATATACTATTGAGCCTCTTTGGGTAATTGTAGTTTTTATCAATGTATATGAAATATGTGTCATTAATTAATAGTCTTTTAACTTAGTTTCTTAGTGATGAAGTAACCTAAAATTTGGTGACGGGGAAGAAGCAAAATATTGAAATTGTTTATATCATATATAACATATATCAATATGAATATGGGGAATAGATATACTATTGATCCTCTTTATATAATTGTAGTTATTATCAATGTATATGAAATATGTGTCCTTAATTAATAGTCTTTTATCTTAGTTTCTTAGTGATGAAGTAACCTAAAATTTAGTGACGGGGAAGAAGCAAAATATTGAAATTGTTTATATCATATATAACATATAACAATATGAATATGGGGAATAGATATACTATCGATCCTCTTTATATAATTGTAGTTATTATCAATGTATATGAAATATGTGTCCTTAATTAATAGTCTTTTATCTTAGTTTCTTAGTGATGAAGTAACCTAAAATTTGGTGACGGGGAAGAAGCAAAATATTGAAATTGTTTATATCATATATAACATATAACAATATGAATATGGGGAATAGATATACTATCGAGCCTCTTTGTGTAATTGTAGTTTTTATCAATGTATATAAAATATGTGTCCTTAATTAATAGTCTTTTATCTTAGTTTCTTAGTGATGAA